GGTGGGTGGGCGGTGGGTGGGTGGGTGGGTGTTCGTGTGCATGTGTGTGTGTGTGTGTGTGTGCGCGCGCGCGTGCGCATGCACAGCTCCTTCCCCGCCCCCTCCAACCCCAACCCGCCTCACCCTCCCCACATCCTCCCTTGGACACCCTGACACATGCTGATCCAACAAGACAGCATAGGCCTGTGTGGTGATGGTGCGATTCAGTCAGAAAATGCCCGACCTGGTCGGATGTCCTGGGTCCTGACTTGTGCAAGTGTGAGTGTGGCTAGTTTCCAAAAGGCCATCCTCGGCTTGCAGAACATCTCGCACTTCAGAACACCCTATACATTCAAAACTCCCTGTATCTTGTCGTGTTCGATGCATGAGGCAGTGGGCTGCTTTTAAGGCAAGGATGTTTTTGAGCTGCAGGAATTCTTTTGCCACTACTCCCAACACCTCCCCCTCAACCCCCGAACCAAACCCACTCACAGTCCGCACAGAGCAGTTGTGCACCACACAGCGCATGACAGCTGTTCGCCCATGTCACACCACTGTGCATGGCAGATCAGTAGACCGCATCTCATGGCACACTGCAACCGCAACTACGTATAGGAGTCGGGCATTAAGTACCAGGTCTGCTACCGTTGAGCCGTCTGTAGAGTTTTTCAGTCATTCAAAACTGCAACGTGTCCTTAAGCCCCAACCCAGCTGCCTGCTATTCCCCTCACCCGCTCCTCAATCCCCCCCTCACCCTTCATCCCCCTTATCTGTCAGTCCGGCGAAGCCCATATTGTTGTATCCTCAGCTATCAACTAGCAAGCCTGCAAGAGCATCCCTTATACTGTCATATGGCATCACATCCCCCAGCCCTCCACCCCCCCCGGAAAAAGCGCTTCCCACAGATAACCCCCTTTTCTGTCATATGGCATCACATCCCCCAGCCCTCCACCCCCCCCAGAAAAAGCCCTTCCTACAGGAGCATCCCTTACCTGCCATTTCACAAGAAAAGATAAACATTGGCATCCCGTTCACTGATCAGTCCCTTCACCATGCCTCTGACACATCCTTCCTCATCCTTCCCCCACTTTCCAAGTCCCATTAGAAGAAAACTGCCACTCGTCTCCACTTTCCAATTGCCCCCCACTTTTCACATGCAAGCACCCCCATAAAACCTTCCCCATCATATCCCACAATCTCAGACTGTCCTTTCCACCCATCATAAAACCTACAGAAGAGACAAAACAATCAATACCCTCCATCGACTGACCTCCTTCAGCTTCTGATCTCCGCACTGCCTAACCTTTCCACTGTCTCCTGCCCATACCGTACCGCAGCGACCAAAGGAAAGAAAGAATCGAAGACAAGATTACCTATGTTGCAGCTCCGCTCACAAAAAGGGAGGAACATTTTTGGACATAGAAGAAGAGAGAGCTCATCAGGAGGTTGAACCACAGCAGTCTGTCCAGGACGCATTTGACTGATGGATAAGGACTCACCAAGTTGCCTGGAGCCAGCGATACCCCTGGGAGAAAGGGTTGACTTTACGCAAACAAGTTGAACCAGCCTTGTGTGTGTGTGCGTAAGGCTCGGTTCAGTGAACCGAGACGGTCTCATCGAAAGACACTCGGGGGTAGTTGTAGAAAGTTGCCTTCAATTATAAGAGTACCAGTGTTGTTAAGCAGGTCCTGTCACGAATGAATGGAGTATTCAACATTCAATCTGCTTGGCATTTCCTGTTCTCTACGAAACATTCGAGCAGCCCTATTGCTGGGCATGCATCTTGAAGCAATTCCTGGAAGATATAAGGCAAAGACGAAACCACACGGCACGTGTCTGAATCAGCCAGTGGACAGTGTGGCAAACTCTCTCTCTCTCTCTCTCTCTCTCTCTCTCTCTCTCTCTCTCTCCCCACAGAGAAACAGTCAAAGATCCCAAAGAAAGAGATGACCCAATTTGTGATGGCCACACACACACACCAACCTCCCGTGCCGGTCCTTCGCCCCCGACTGCACCCACCATCCTCCCCAACTGCACCCAGCCCACTCTCCTCCCCCACCACGCCCAGCCACTGTGTCCACCCTCCTCCCCCACTGCGCGAGCCCCCTCTACCCCCCTGCACCAGCCCTCCTTCCCAGCTGTACCGAACCTCCTCACCCCCTGGGCCAACCCTCCTCCCCGGCTGCCCCCACCTCCTCACTAAGTGCACCCACTCTCCTGTCCAACCGCACCCAACACGGCGCCCACCCTCCTCCCTCACTGCTACGACCCTCCTTCCCCACTGTGCCGTCCCTCTTTTCCCATTACACTGACCCTCCTGGCCCATTGCGCCGCCCTACTCCCCCACTGGCCCGACCATCCTTCCCAACTGACGTTGTGAATTCTGGCCGTCCATTTGATGGAGTTGTCACTCTGTGGGAATGCAGATGAGATTTTAGACGGAGAGCATGTAGCAGCAGACCACTTGCATTACTTCCCCCCCCCCCGCTTCCATTTGCAAATGTTTTATCCCCCAGCTCTGTGTGTGTGTGTGTGTGTGTGTGTGTGTGTGTATTTGTGTGGGCACACACACATCCCACTGCCCCGACCCTTTCCTCCTAGTACGCCGACACTCCGTCCTACTGCACCAACCCTCCTCCCTCACCGCACCAACCGTTCCTCTCACCGTGCCTACCCTCCTCCTCCACGTTGCCCTCACTATGGCACTGCCCCGACCCTCGTCTCTCGCCATGCCAAACTTCCTCCCCAACTACAACACAACGACCCCCCACGCCCACCCTCCTCCCCCAGTGGGACGATCCTCCGCGCCCACCCTCCCCACTACTGTGCCGACACAGCTGATCCACTGCGCTGACCCTCCTCCCCCACTGAGCTAACCATCCTTCCCCACTGACTCTGTGGACTGTGGTCATCTATTTGAGGGAGTTGTCACTCTGTGGGTTTGCGCTTGCATTATTCTGCAACCATGTTTCATGTACTCATCCAAAAATAATATTCCGGAGTTCTTGTTAGAAAAAAAGGATTTCACCTGTAGCAGCATACCACCTGGACTGTTCCCCATCTCTTCCCTTTGCAATATCCCCCAATTCTCTCTCTCTCTCTCTCTCTCTCTCTCTCTCTCTCTCTCTCTCTCTCTCTCTCTCTCTCTCTCTCTCTCTCTCTCTCTCTCTC